TAAGAGACTACAATCACAATGGCAATATACTAATACAATTATATATAGATTTGTACACTGTATGTATCCTTTTCTAAGAAGTTTACATGAAGAATTTTGAGTACAGCCTTTCTTGCATTAAATAAATGCTAGTAGTAAAACCTCGTAATACTCATACACAAAAACTAGCACACTGTTACAGCAGTACTTACTGCATAAGGCAATTAGATATATATATCTTCTTCAATGACTGTAACTATCATTCTTAATTTTTTTCTCAGCTATAAAAACTTAGGGAAATTTTTTAATGTGAATTCTGGAAATACTTATAAGTTATGACAAAAACAATTCCATTGGGTATCTGAGAACAGATAGGAGAGTTTTCCAAATTAAAGTTATTGAAAAGAAAAGAGGTACCTTCTTATATGCTTATATTCACTCTTTTATTTTAAAGAGAAAAAAATAAAAATAACAACAAAACAGTTTCATAACAGGTTAGTAGGAGAGTTAAAATAATTAATACATTGCGTGTTGTCTTTATAGTATTGAGAGTACAAGATATAGGTATGTTATCTTGTCCAAACAATATTAGCACAAACTTTTCAATGAACTAAGAGAAACTAGCTATATAACTATCTTAACTATCATGTGTATAAATATATTTTTTTCTTTTTCACTTTCTTCCTTTCCCCTTTCCTCCATTACAGTTTGTCTTTTCTTTTGAACAGTTTCTTTCTAATTCACAATGTCTATTGTACATCTTGGATCTTATTTACTTGTTCAGTTTCTTTTTTTTTTTGGTACTAGAAGTCAAATTCAGGACCTTGTGCTTGCCAAGCAGGAGCTTATGCCACTGAGCTATATCCCCAGCTCCTACTTGTTCATTTTCTCACACTGAGACAATATGATGTTTATACATACAGGTCTGATTTATTTTATTTATGAGTATGGTCTCAAGTTGCATCCATTTACTTATTAAAGTCTCCAATTTATTATCCTTCTTTAGGGCTGGGTAGTACTCCATTATAAAAAAACCCCACATCTTTGTTATTCATTCTTCAATTGATGGGCATTTGGGTTGTTTCCAAGATTTAGCTATTACAAACAGTGCTGCTATAAACATGAGTGCACATATGTTGCTGTGATACAATGTTTTTAATTTTTCTGGGGAAATACTCAGAAGGGGAACAGCTGGGTGGAATGGGACCTCTAACCCTAGTTTTTAAAGGAATCTCCACACCAATTTCCACTGTAGTTGCACCAGTCTACACTCTCACCAACAGTGGAGAAGGGTTCCTTTTCCCCTATAGCCCCTCCAGTATTTGTTATTGGTTGATTTCTTGATGATAGGATAGCCGTTTTTTTCTGGGGTGAGATGGAATCTCAGTTTTGTTTTGCTTTGCATCTCTTGAATTATCAGTGATGTTGAACACTGTTTCATATATTTATTTGCTGTTTGTATTTCTTCATCTGAGAAGTGTGTATTCATCTCAGATGCCCCTTTTGAACTGGGTCTTTGAATTTGGGAGGTCTGAGTTTTTTCAGTTTATTTGTGTATGTCTCTCTTTTCTTTGCCTGTTTCTTTTTAAGTTTTGGTTGAGTTTTTTCAGTTCTTTGTATGTTCTAGGTATGTCCTTTGAGGGACAACTGGCTATAATTTTTCTCCACACGCTGGGTTGTCGTTTCACTCTGCTGGTGATTTCTTTTGCTCTGCCAACGCTCTCTAATAAAGTGAGATCCCATTTGTTGATTTTTCATAATATTTCTCTTGCAGTCTGGGTTTTGTTCATGAAGGCAGGGCCCAAGGAGCCAGGAGGTGGCACAGCTGACAGAGCCCTGACCATGACCCCACTCCACAGAGATCCTGAAGCGAGGGGGTGGGTCCTGATCCAGCAGAACCCCCCTACACCTATATCTTCAAAATTTGTACCTGTTTTCTATTCCAGTAAATTTAGTGTTTCTATTTTAATACTTAGACATTGATCCATTTCAAAGGGGGAACAGAAAATGGAAAGATATTCCTTGCTCTTGATTAGGAAGAATCAACATAGTGAAAATGGCCATACTCTCAAAACTGATACATAGATTTAAGGCAATCTCAACCAAAATACCATTAGCATACCTCACAGACTCATAGAAAACACTCCTAAAATTCATTGGAACCAGAAGACACCTAGAATAGCAAAAGCAATTCTGGGCAACAAAGCCAAGGCAGGATGCATCACCGGTCCAGACCTGAAATTATATTACAAAGCTGCTGTGATAAAATCAGCATGGCACTGCCAAAAAATAGGTCTGAGGATCAGTGGAACAGAAAGGAAGATGGAGATGCAATCCCTAACACATTCAGTCACCTTATATTTGACAAAGGAGCCAAACATGTTCACTGGAAGAAAGTCTCTTTAATAAATGGTGCTGGAAAAAACTGGCTCTCCACATGTGGAAGACTAAAACTAAAAGACCCATGTCTATCACCATGCACCAAACTATATTCACTCTTAATGGCAGTAAGCTGTAACGTGGAGAGGGTTACTTTCTACAAATAGATGTTTTCCCTTTCTCTTTACTCGTGCAAGTCTCTCTTTTCTTTGCTCATTTCTTTCTAAGTTTTGGTTGGTTTATTCAGTGTATGTGTCTTTGTGTGTCTCAGGTCTTTTTCACTGTAAAGCTACTTTTTCTTTCTGCACTGACAGTGCTGCCTTTTCTAAAAAGTAATTATGGGAGGAGTGAGGAATATAAGTAGAAAGTATAATTATATCACAGAATTAGTTTTCACATGATAGATATATTTTAATTTTATCCATAACTCAGATAGTGGTATTTATGATAAAAGAGCAATAAAAGGACAAAGTTATGGACAAAAGGGGCTATCATTTGAGCCACAAATTCCTTCCAGGGCAGAAATATGAAAAGCTCAAGGGGACTTTCTGAGAAATGAGGAAATAAGACATAAAATAATACAAGAGGAGAAGATAGAAATCTTAGAAGCTGATGGTCAAAGAATAAGGAGATTCAGTTACAATTCAAAGATACATTGTGCAAATTCAGAACAGAAAAGAGTTGTAAGGAGGGCCTATGGCCAAAGTTAGAATTACGAGCAAACAAGGTTTCATAAGGAACCACGTAGGACGTACCCCGTCTCAGTATTTACAATGAAATATTTTAAGAGAAGCCAAAAGGGCCTAAGCTGAAAATAATTTTACTTGTGCAGGGAGCAAAAGAGTCAATGGGTAGGAAAACAGTTAGATCTAGCTTTAGGGGTGAGGACCTGATGACAGAGAAGGCAAATGACAAAAGGAGTCAAGTGTTTATTGCTACGACTTCAAGACTGCATATATGAAACAAGTAATATACCTAAGACCTGTAGAACTTGTTCCTTTTTTGTTTTTAAGACAGGGTCTCATTATGCAGTTCAGGCTGGCCTTGAATTCACAACAATCCTCCTGCCTCAGCCTCCCAAGTGCTGGGATTACAAGTGTGAGCCACCACGCCCAGCTTAGAAATTGTTTCAGTCAAACAGTACATACAACGACTAACAAAGCTTTCAAAGTTTTGTGTAACACAGGTGCCTCTACAAAAATCAAACACTCGCTGTTTGTTTTTATATGAAATAATCACAGTAATTTTTAATAGCAGCTTTTATTTTAGTTACTTAATTTTCCATCTTTTTTTGCTGCTTGCTATACATTTTGGAGACAGGGCATCTGTTTAATATAAAAAATGTAGGATATAAAATGTCCTCACTAAGAAGCCATTCATGAATACTTCTAGTCACTGGATTAGAAACAAGATTCTGCGATTACTGCTTGGCCTAGGCCTCTGACTTGTCAACGAAGTTAACTTCCCTTTTAGTACAATGAATTGCAGAAGTATGATTATGCAGTTGTCTATGAGGGTTTATTAGCAGACATATGATATGGTGGTTGAGCAGAGATGTAGTATTTTCTCTGCCAGTGACCAAAATATTTATATATTTCATAAAGTAGAAAGAACTTTGTAAAAAATTAATAAGATCTGTTTCACAAATTACCAATTCAACTGGAACACTTGAAATAGTAGAAATGACAAAAGATTTGTTCTTACGGCTGATAAAAAATTTATATCAGGGCATCAAGTAAAGTTATTTTCTGTGTTCTGATTTAATGAATCATGTGAGTTGTATCTGGTTGGATGACACAGATTCTGGTTCACTGAAGCCTACTCTTAATGCATTCCAGCATGGCCTTCCTTGGGACAGTGAAGCCAGAATAATATGTCAGACTGAAGTAATATCAAAGAAAGAGAAAGCTGGGCTTGAGATGCTATGAGGTTGACTCCTAACACTTCTTGACCTGTGAGTATCCAATAAGTATTCAATGTCCTATGGGCTTCAATGACCTAACAAGCACCAGGCAACAACAGTAATGCAATAATGAATGGTCCTCAAAAGACTTTTGCAATTCAACCTGAAAAACACTACACTTATTAAATGGTTTTAACCCTATTGAAAAATAGCTTTAGAAACCACTAGTGGTTTCCTAAAAGGTGAATGAGTATTAAATGTTTTATGTATGCTTATGTAGTAAGTATTTATTTTAGTTCAAATATGTTAGATTTAGAAAATAATGCTTTTCTGATGGTATCAGAGATAAAACATATTAAAGAAAACTTAAATAAGCCCTAGATATGTACAAATACAGATATAAGGTAATAAGCTCGCTCACTGTTAATAAAATACACTATTAAAAATGAAACTAAAGGAGTATCCTGTAAATATCCCACATGGGGATATTCTTCTCTTTCAAAAGATAACACGTATTAGTTGTGAAGAACTGGAGCCTCAAAAGAAATGATAGTAAAACTATAATGGGAATAATTATAGCCTATCAAAACATGGCGTATCACTTTAAATGAAAATTATTTTCCATGTAAGAAAGGAAAATAATAAAGGCCTAACATTTATTACCAGTTTAAAAGGTCAGTAAATAACTTTGTTTTTCCTTAGCCAAAACTTAAGAGTTAAAATCTGAAAAAGCACTTACAATGACAGCAACACCATTGCAATTAAAGTCCACTCCACAGGATTGTGTATAATATTTCTATTTGTTAATCTGAAAGAGAGTAAGATAAAATTTACTCAAGGATTTTTATATTTAAATAAGTAAGTCTTTTATTTCTAGGTAAAATAAACTCATATTACATTTTATAAGAAGTACTTTAAAAATATCTATTATATTTGACTGGATAGAGTAGTATAGAAATGTGGCTTTTTTTCTATATCTGATAGTGACCATCTCAACAAAGTAATGTAGGCCCACTTTTACATACAGTATTTACAACAGTTATATTGAACAAGAGGGAAATATAGATACAATGGGGCAAACTAAACTGTATGGTTTCTTATAATACACAACACACACACACACACTGTAATAACATCATCTATGCTTTCCCCTAATCAAACACTTTATTGAAGCTAAGTAATTTCTGACTTTAATTTATCTTCTTTATCTTTCTAGTTAGGATGGCATCAGACAATTAAGAGATGCCATAACCCATAACTTACAGAAATGAGAGTTGGCTTAATAAATTAAAACCATAGTCTTTATTATGGTTTGTATCTAGACGTCCCCCTCAAAGCGTCATGTGATCACACATGGGGCTTTTCAGAGGTGGCTGGATCTAGGGTGTGTGATTTCTAAATTAGTCCACTGGTTAGTTTGGCATAGTTCTGGGTGTGGATAATGAGAAGCCCACACCGGCTGTGGGTGGCACCACCCAAAGGGCAGGTAGCCTGGATGGATATAAAGGGACAAAAAGAAGGCAGGCTGGTAGCTGGTTCTTTACTATTTCATTGTTTTGCTGCCTTCTGACACCAGAGTGATTCTCCTCTGTAACGCCCCTCTGCTGTGCCTCCCTGCCTTGGAGCCAGCCAGCTATGAACCGAAACCTCTATAAACTGTGAACTACAATGAACCTTTTCTCCTTTAACTCTGGGTACTGAGCATTTTGTTTCAGCAATGAGGAAAGTAACTAACAGTCTTTATTAGTGAAAAGTTTCAGAAAATCTTAAGTAAATTCTATTGCTTAACCATTGATGACAACAAAATATTATAAACATCTTAGTTTCTCAAAAAGCATTTTAAAACATCACTGAGTCACAATATGATGGGGACAGGAAGAAATAGTATCCTTAACATACTGTTGATGAGAGCAATTAAACAACAATTTGACAATATCTAGCAAGCTAAAAAACACATATCAATAGCCCAGCAGTTTTCATCACCCCCTCAAAAACAAGTCCTCCTTTGGACATCTGCATCTCGGTACCACCAATAGCTATCCTGTGCTTTCAGAATCTAGCTGCTCAGTCAAAACATCTTAGGGTTAAATTTGATTCTTGATATCCCATGTCCAAACAGTCATTAAATCATGATGGTTCTATCTTCAAATCATAACTTGACGTCTTAAAAAAAAAATCTGCTAGAAACACTAAATCTATTGGAAGAGAAAGTATGTAAAAACCTTGAAGACATAGGGTTAGGCAGAGAGTTCATGAACAAAAACCAAATTGCACGTGAAACACTTGAAAGAATCAACAACTGGGATCTCA